ACAAGACTAGTTTAACGATTAGCCAAACCAATGCCAAATAAATAAATAAATAAATATCAGTTTTACAAAACAAACTCAAAAATGAAATATGTGTGTATAAGAACACCACAATATTAGTAATAATAACTAATATTAAACCTCTACATCTTTGCATGACACTGTTTATTTAGTGAGGAAAAAAACACCAGTGTTCATTTGGCAAGCCATCACTGCTCACACAGACTCATGTTCGTGCTGCTGTTCGGCATATTGTTTTTATGCTATTAGTGCTTAGTGTATATTTAGTTTATGTTTTTCTTGGTTCATATCTTAGATCTTATTACTGTTTTTCTTTTAAGTTTTACTGTTGAATGTAACCGGGACCGGCATCTGGTTAGGATTCCTCCTGGACACCTCCCTGGCGAGGTTTTCCAGGCACGTCCCATCGGGAGGAGGCCCAGAGGAAGACCCAGGACACGCTGGAGGGACTATGTTTCTCGGCTGGCCTGGGAGCGCCTTGGGATTCCTCCGGAGGAGCTGGACCAAGTGGCTGGGGAGAGCGAAGTCTGGGCCTCCCTACTTGGGCTGCTACCCCCGCGACCCGACTCCGGATACGTGGAAGAAAATGGATGGATGGTAACTGGGACCCTGTGTACATAATCTCATACACACCACATGTACCACTTGTGGTGTGTATGACAAATAAATCTCTCTGACTCTGACTCTAGCCTGTTAGCTTAACTTAACCCCAAAACCAGAGTTTTATGGTTTAAATCTTCAATACATTTGTTTTATAGTTACTGACTGAAAACCAACAGACACATGCACACTTTTACACCTTTGTATGTGTTATAATAATAAATATGTTTAATGGACTGGATACCTTGATGATCATCTTTAATAATCCAAAGTATCTCTCTCTTTTATCATTAGTGTCTGGTTTTGAGACATGGCCAACCTGTACAAAGACTTTTGCCTCTTCCTCCAAACTGTGCTCCACAGAACAGTCTTTTAGAGATGTCTGGACTATACCTTTAAAAACAACGTTCAAGTCAGTTTCCTGTTCAAGTCAGTTTCCTGTACAAAATTACATTCATTTTGTAAAAACACGTTCGCGTTCACAGTAATCCAGAGCTGGGCTAACTTGTAACTTAAAACCTACACTCTAAATTCAACATATGGTAAATGATCTCCAGATCTGCAGGCACATACAGAGTACTACAGCTGGGATTAACTTGAGGTTCCATCTTGTCCAAAGAATTGCAAACATATGGAGGTTTTGTGGACTGAACTGCAAACTTTATTGTTAGTTGGCAACCTGTTTTATTACATGAGGCATGCCCAACCTGTTCCCTAAATTAACTTGACCATTTTTTTGTTGTATTTTTTTCTTAGTGTATTCTGTTTGTGAGATTTTCTTTGAACATGTAGAGTGTCCTAAATGTAAAAAAGCATATGAAGCATATTTATTATTATAACTTTGGCACACATAAAGGTGTAAAAGTGTGCATGTGTCTGTTGGTTTGCAGTCAGTAACGATAAAACAAAGATGTAGACGATAAAACCCTAAAACTCTTGGAGGGTTGTGATGGATGGAAACTGGATACCTTGATGATCATCTTTTATAATCCAAAGTGTTCTGAACATTTTAAAGCAGTGTAAAAACCCTGAATAAAGTCACACACACACACAAAAAAAGAGTAGCATAGTGCTTAAAGAAAAGTGTTAGTATCTGGTTTTGAGTATGACAGCTGACAGAGGTTTAAAGAACTTCTTATCTGCATTTTCAAAACACTTCTAGTTTTTCTTATCTTGACATGTTTTATCATTTGTGCTAATTGGAGGAATTGGGGGAGTGGAAGTGATGAGAGATTAGAGCATTCATGGTAATCTGCAGTTGTGTAAATAATAAAAATGGTTCAGATTAGGTGACACATTTTTTACATTTAAATATCTTTTTTAAATAAATCAATACAAAATGAACAAGTCCATACATTGTGTAAATACATCACAAAATCGTAGAAATAAAAAAAACTATACAATTTAAGAATCAGTTAGGTCATTAAAAATGATGTGGACAGACAATAATGTTGTCTGTGTTTCTGTGTCTGCCAGTTTCCAAAATCTCATGAACCACTAGAACATTTTAACCAAACTCAGTAAAAATCATAGGAAGTACACGGGCAACTGAGTAACTTTTGGAGAAAACCCAATTCAAGATGGCTGCCACAACCAACTTACCTTGAAAAAACACAAAACTGATAGAACTTAGTCATTGTTACAGACATTGCTTGATAATTTGGTGTGTAGCCGTCACAACACATAGTCCAAGTGCTACTTTTGTTTTAAAACATTAGCATTAGCTGTTAGTGTTAACCCCGTTTGTCTGTTAGCATAATAACTCGTGAGCCACTGAACAGGTTTTAATGAAACTCTCTGAATGTAACTATTAAACTTTTTTCTTTCTTTTGTCTGCTCCCATCTTCAGGGGTCGCCACAGTGAATTAACTCGCATGAAGACTTGGAGATTGATTTTGCGCCGGATGTCCTTCCTGACAAAACCACAGACCACTGAGCTACCACAGCCCTCTGTGTGGAGCAGAGAGCTGCTATCTGCAGTGCCCAGGGGAGCAGATGGTGGGGGTTAAGGGCCTTGCTCAAGGGCCCAGAGTGGGGCAAATGAGGGTGGAGGCAGGTGTGGGTGTTTCACCTTTCACACCAACATTTGGGTGTTGTTGGTCTGGGGAGTCAAACCAGCGACTTTCCGATCACAGGCTTGCCTTCTCTAACCTCTGCGCCACCACTACCCCATTAAATCAATCTAAAATGTTTTTGTCAAATCAATACATTCACAAATACAATTGATTAATTTAAGCTACATCCTTTCCTGGTCCCCGAGGGCCACCATCCTCCATGTTTTACCTTTCTCCAACACACCTGGTTTGAACCAATAGGTGATAAACAGGATTCTGCTGAACATGGAGGTAATTAAGCAAATGAATTATGTGTTAGCATAATATCTCGTAAACCACTGAACAGATTTTATTTAAACTCTCAGAATGTAACCATTATTTTTTTTTCTTCTTTTGGCTGCTCCCTTATTCATTAGTTGCCACAGTAAACTATCTTGCACAAAGACTTAGCACAGTCGGTAGAGCTGCCACCTCTCAGTGAGAAGGTCGCTGAATTGAATCCCAGCCAGGGAAGTGGCATTCTGAGTGGAGTTTTCATATTCTCTCCGTGCATGTGTGGGTTTTCTCCGGGAACTCCAGTTTCCTCCCACAGACCAAAAACATGCATGTTAGACTGATTGGTAACTCTAAATTGTCTCTAGGTGAGAGAGAGAGAGAGAGAGAGAGAGAGAGAGTAAATGGTTGTTTGTCTCGTATGTCTCTGTGTCACTGTGATGACTGGAGACCTGTCCAGGGTGTCCCATTCTCGCACATTGCCTACTGGATATGGGCACCAGCAGTGACCCTCGTGACATGAAAAGGAAGAAGCGGGTAAAAGATGATGGATGGGTGCATGCTTGGATGGATGCATGCATGGACTGATTGATGGATGCATGCATAGATGGATGAATGCATGGCTGGATGGATGGATGAATGCATGGATGATGCATGGATTGATGGACAGATGGATGCATGGATGGATGGCTTGATGGATGGATGAATAGATGGGTGAATGCATGGATGGATGGATGCATGGATGGATTGATGGATGGATGCATATATGGATGGATGGATGCATGAATGGATGGATGGATGCATGGATGGAAGACAGATGGATGATCTCTTGTAAATGAGTCCTCGAGTCTCAATGGGATTTACCTGTCTAAATAAAGGTTGAATGAATGATGCATGGATGGATGCATGCAAGGATTGATGGATGGATGGACGGATGCATGGATGGATTGATGAATGGATGAATGGATGGGTGGATGCATGGATGGAAGGATGCATGCATGGATGGATGGATGGATGGATGGACAGATGCATGGATGGATTGATGAATGGATGGGTGGATGCATGGATTGATGGCTGGATGAATGGATGGATGGATGAATGGATGCATGCATGGATGGATGGTTGCATGGATTGATGATGGATGCAAGGACTGATGGATGATTGATGGATAGATGAATGGATAGGTGGATGCATGGTTGGTTTTGATGGATGCATGCATGGATGGATGGATGGATTTATGGATGATGGATGGATGCATGCATGGATGGATGCATAGATGGATTGATGGATGAATTAATGGATTGATGGATGGTTGCATGGATTGATGGATGGATTCATGCATAGATTGATGGATTGATGGATGGATTGATGGATGGCTGAATGGATGGGTGGATGCATGGTTGGTTTGATGGATGGATGAATGGATGGGTGGATGCATGGTTGGTTTGATGGATTGATGCATGGATGGATTGATGCATGGATGGATGGATGCACAAATGGACCAGGATTGGACACCCCTGCAGAGCCAATTCAATGTGTCCTCAGTTAAATGACTTTAACGAGCCAACACAGAAATGGCAACACAGTCGGTTTTACATCCACTAAGCTACAACTTCACGTGGTAGTAGCTGAGAGTCATCACAACAAATACTGGGAGCTTATAAAACAAATGCCAGGCTGTTCATTTCATGCTGACGTCACATCAGCAGGAGTTTTGTTATGTAACTGTGTGAGGAAACATTTGAATATTGGTGCATAAATCAGTGGTGGAGAAGCCGCGGGAAGCTGAATGTGTGCGCGTGGTTGCCCACAGTGGTGTGCTGCAGTCCTCTGAGTAAACTGCACGAACATCAGCGCGCGCAGCGGCGCAACCACCGAGCCCGAGCGCATTCAAACCAGCGCGTGCGTCCGAGGACCCGCTCGATTAACGACGGAGTGAGAAAAGCCGGCGAGAAAACACTTTGCAGCCGCGAGAGAAAAGGAGAGCAGCCTCTCGGTGAACTCCGTGCAGTTTCTGTGCGTCGTGATTTAGCGTCAGACAAGACGGGGGGGTTGAAAGGACAGCTCGGCGGGAATGGCTTCATCTCCGTGCGGGAACACGAACTTCGACTCCGGGCTGGAAATCAAAACTCGCTCGGTGGAACAGACGCTTGTCCCTTTAGTTTCGCAGGTGAGTATCAAAACACCCCCCCAGCCCTCCCCCGTACACACACCCCGTTTGAACTTTTACCACCTAACTTCACAGATGTGCTCGAGCACAAGTGTTTACCTGTTTGTCCGTCGCGTGCTTTGTTGTTTTGACGTTGTAAACAACTTCCACATTTCCACGACAAGCTTGTGTTGGCCTGTTCTGAAGGGTTACCCTCCAAAACATCATCAAAGTGATCAGAATCATGAAGACGCCCTTTCTGGGGACTTATTCACAAACTTTTACAACTTTCAGCTCCCTCAAAGCTGTGCTGTGACGCGCACTCCCGTGCGTGCCACTTTAAAAAGCACGTGCTTTGTTTTACAATAAACACAAGAAGAGCCACTTTACAGGCTCTCTTTCAGCAGCTCTCAAGTTCCAGCATTTAAGGGCAGAGTTAATGAATCAGGTTACTGTAAAACAAAGTGGGCCACAAACGCTTTAGATTATTAAAGGGATAGCACGGATCTTTTGAAGTGGGGTTAATTGGAAAGGGCAGGAATAATCTGTCTTTTTGTAAATAGCTCTTTCAAATGATGTTTTTCACAGTTTGGCGAAATGCAGGTTGTACGGGATTGGTGAGCTAAAACAGTCAATGGTTGCTGCTGTCTTAAAACAACTTGAATGCAGTTTTATTAACCTTAGCTGTTGTTAACGGTGCAATTATTATTTATTTTTAATAATCTGGTGGACAAGTCTCAGTGAGAAGGTCACAAGTTCGCCTCTTGGCCCGAGGCCTTTCGGGTTGGAGTTTATACGTTTCCCCCGTTTTCTGGTTTCTTCCCACACATGAAAAACGTTCCTAGGTTAATCGGTAACTCTAAATTGTCCCTAGATGTGAGTGAGAGTGTGAATGATTGTTTTTATGTGGACTGTGATGGACTTGCGAGTTGCGACCTGTCCAGGGTGTTTCCCGCCTCCAGCACAGACTGCTGGAGATTTAAACGAGGAATTTGACAATTATCTCTTCCTGTTTGATTAAAGTTTTATCTTGCTCATTTACGTCTAGATTCTTGTCAGTCAGGCTTCTCTATTACATTTTCAGTGTTTTGTAATAGACATGCAGTTTCTTGCCACATACTTTTTATAAACCTTTATATCACCATGAACTTAGCATCATACAGTTATTCTAGCAGAATTACAACATATTCTTATACTGATTAGGATATTCCTATAAAAAGTGTCACATGCTGCATCAGAAGTGCCTGGTGCCACGGCTATTTGAGCTTACAAATAACCATAGCATATGTGAAAACACCTGCTGAATATGAAATTCACGTAAATGGAAACGTTTACATTAGGGATGCACGATATTATCGGCATGGTATCGGTATCAGCCGATATTAGCGATAAAGTTAAATATCGGACATTCCATAAAAATAACCCGCCGATATAAAAGACGGGCGCTGGTTTTGTATGACGACCCAGTGACAAGGATGCCTGCAGCGCCAGCACAACGTGACGACGTCAAGCGCGCCGTTGAGTTTAGATTTGTGAAAATATACAAATGTGCACTGTTTGAGTGTTGTCATTGTGTTAGAGAGTAAATGTCATGAATAAATTTGACATTAAACATAATCCAAGTTGAAGTGTTTCATCACTTTCAGCCCTTTTTTGGCATCTGCATTTGGTAGCAGGCCAAACTGACAAAGACTGTGCAGAATAATGCAGTATTTTAATTATACAGCAGAGAAAGCTATGTAGTCTATGTACGTCGGTCTAGGAAAAAAAAAATTGGTATCTGTATCGTTATCGGCCAAATGAGTGTTAATATATCGGCATATCGGATATCGACCAAAAATCCAATATCGCGCATCCCTAGTTTACATGAACTTCTATAATCTTTTTAAACTGGAGTTGTTTTAAGAAGGCTACAGAAATCCACTTTAGTCTTGGCCCAGCTCAGACGAGCTGCTGGCTCATCAGTCCTGTCAGAATTAAACAATTTCTCCAAACTGAGCTTGCTCTAAGAACCATCCATAGGAAGTGAGATAATAATTATTCATACCTTTTTCACAGAACTCCACTTCAAGAAATCTAAGCTTTTGCTTTAATAGTACAGAGCTTCTGCTTTCATTCTGACCAACAGTATATGTGTCAGAGAATGAGAAGTGCTTCCTCGAATAGGGAAATAGCCATTCCTTTTCTAAATGCTGTTGGTGTCCTCTTGTTGTTTAAAGGCTAAAGGGGCAGAGACCTGTTGTATTCACAGAGAGGCAGCTCATTGTTGGGGAACAGAACGAGGTGGGAGTGTGGCGTTCATGCCCATGACGCTGCCATCCCCCTCGTCCGCTCTGCCAACTATCTTCTCCTCTCTCTCTCACTGCACTGGCTCATTTGATAGATAAGACCATCCTGTACTGAATGGATGAGTTGGTTATCAGAAAAATACATCTGGTGATGGGTGTGTGCTTTCCACGACAGGCATTTGTTTAGATTGTTAAGTCAGTCATGAGTGCATTGGAAAATTCAGATGTTTTCTTAGAGAAGTTAAATCCTTTAAACTTTTTACAGAGATTAGGTACAAGACTTGGCAATATGGCAAAATGTACAAACTTATGTTGCACTTCTTCCTCCTGAGAAAGACCAGCTTGGTTCCGGTGTATAGCATAAAAGTCTTGTTGAATAGTAGGCCTCAAGGACAATCTTTCAAAAAAAAAAAAAAATTCCCATCACAAGACCTGTACCCATAGCAACAGAGCTTTGCAATACTGAGAGGAACTGCTTTCTGAAAGGCTATTCGTTGCAAAATTGTTAGCTGTTCTTACTACTGTGACATCATCAAGACACTCAGTACGATATGGTAGTGCTTTTTACCGAGTCTGGTCTCAAAGCAAAAAGAATGTTATGACAATCCAGAGAATAAAAAGGTTGACTATGCTAAGAAAATATCTAGATTGCTTTAGCAGCTTATAAGAAACCTTCTACCCCCTTCCAGCAGTGCAGGAGAATCTACAGTGACAGCTAAGAATGCAAAAACACATGAAAAGCTATAGAAACGCCGTGGTGCATGACGAGGACAGTCCATCCTGTTTGTTGGACAGAATTTAACATTTCAAGGAAAGAAAAACACATTTTTCTATTTTTCATGTGAATAAATACGTTAAATTAAGGTATGAATGATCATTTGTATTTGCAGTACAACAGCCCCCTTTAACTTGTGTATACTGGAACTTAGAAGAAAGTAAAAATAGATGTGAAGAAGAAATTGTAACATGAAAATAGAAGCATAGCATCCTAAACACTGTTGTTTATGATTAGGTGAAGCAGCTTCATTTTTATATATATATATATATACTGTATATAAAAAAACATGAAACTTCATAAAAACAGCTAATATTTATTGGGTTCATTGCATTGGAAGAACATCCTTCACATAGTCACTGGCGCTGGTGTGTTTTTACATGAACAATGCAATTAAAATGACAGAATAAATTGGTTATGTATTTGGGATAACAGGCTGTAGAGGAAACTGGAGCTTTAGCAAGCCTTGGTAATACAATTAGTACTTTAAAGTGTTAGTAATACCTTCATTAAGGTGGTTATGTGACATTTCCATGAAGAGGCTTTACCTGACTTAGACTTTGTGGAAGCACACTGTCTGGTTGGGCAGTGTTTCATGTTTTTTCTTATAAAAAAAAACTTATTCTATATTTGTGTGCATACATGCACAGGTTATTGGATAACTATCTGAAGGAAATTAAAAAGCAGAGCCAGTGAGAAAAGCAAATCCTTTCTTTTCCTTTCCTTTTTGCTTGTCCTGATGTTGATATATGCAGTCCTCAGTTATCGGCTTCACTCCCACCAGGCTGTAATTAGGGCCCGGGAGTCTCCCTGCATCGCACTTCTTACATACACACATAGAAGGAGACGTGCACGCTGTCCCACCCACGTCTTTTTCCTTTCATGCTTGTGTGTTCACCTGTCAGATTGATTGTTTGTGTGCACTTTAAAATTTTGGAGACTGGATTTGCATTTCACCTTCATCGCCACTGTTGCATCTGCTCAGTTACTGGGTTTTTTTTTCAGTTCAGTCTAGGTTTAATTGAGCCTTAGTCCTGTTTTGCTAATGGACCACCTGGGTACTTTTGTGACACATCTTCCATCATTCAAAGGATTCCTTTCCCCCTCTTTTCAAATTTCTTTCAAAACAGAACAAATATTTTCTTGATTTATCTGCTCAGCTGGAAGTTGTTATTGCCAAGGTGATTTTACTTCACTTTCACCATCAGACTCTTTTAGTCTATTTGGGCGAAGGGAAAATAGATTTCAGTGATTGTGGTTGAGATGCAATTAGCAATCACTAAAGAGAGAAAGATTCAAGACATGCATGTCTGTGTCCCACCTGCGATGTGATGTAAAAACCATGCTGGAAAGGAATTGGCAATTGTGTGGCTCATTTTATTTTTTCTTAGGCTCTCCTCGTGTTTTGATAACCTGGCTAGTAAAATAGATGTTTCGTTCTGATTAAGGTGTGTTTTCCTATCAAATGCACTGCAGGCCAGATGCAGACACGGTGGTCCTTGTCAATGAGGTGTAACCGTGAAGTTCTCTGGCAAAAAAAAAAATGTGTTTGAACCGATAGCAGCGAAGGAATACTATCTCAGGCTTTGATCAGTTTGATGCACAGTCAAATACTTGTGATTACATAGCTCTGCTGTCTTCATCACTTTTGTTCAAGACTAAGCTTGGAGATTTTCTGTTATAAATGGGCCTGGAAAATCCGTTCTCTGTCCAAGTTTGTTAGGATCGACTTTGTCATGCATCCAGGGTTTCTGTGGTGCTGGCAGTTTTGCTTTCTGATCTCCTGAAAAAGACAGTGGTTGCAAAAAGTTTTTCATGTTCGCTTTATGCTTGCAAACAAGCTTGAAATTGGGTGTTTATTACCCATACAAAAGCTCAGTGGCAGGTTTGAGAATATGATTTGCTCCATGGTTCAATTTTAAACAGGTTGCTTACAAAACAATACATAGAAACTTTTT